GAAGCAGTACTGCAGCAGCAGCAGCAGCAGCAGCAGCAGCAGCAGCAGCAGCAGCAGCAGCAGCAGCAGCAGCAGCAGCAGCAGCAACATCAACACCAGCAGCATCACCAGCAGCAGCAGCCGCAGTCGCAGTCGCAGCCGCAGTCGGCACAGCAACAGCAGGGCAGCAGCCATTCCCAGCAGTCGCAGCAGCACATGCTGGCCTAGTCGAGCTGCACGATCGAGGGGCCATCGCGTCGTCGCCTGCTGCCGCCGGCGTCCGTCTGCACCTCGTCGCCTTCGCCCTCGAGGGATGCCGCCGCTTCCCGCCAGCCCAACCCTTGGCCGAGTCGTCCAGTCCTATACCACGTCCCCTTTGCAACCCAACTCGCATCGATTGCCCGTCTGCCCGTCTGTCCAGTAGAGCGCCGTCCCGAGCCGCCTTCCGCCGCGCACACACACATCGAAACACGGATCTGTTTGGTCACCGTCCTACCTCTGCCAGTCGTGCTATGCTCGGCCCCACTCGAGCCTGTCTGGGCACTTTGCATGACAGCATCCCTCTCAGCCTCACATTTGGGACGACGGCACCGCATGGCATCGCACACCGACGGTTCGGGCCTGGCTTTGCATTTGCTTTTCGCGGCGAAGCCTCTGCCGGGCCTTCTAGAGCGAAGCGAGCAGGTCTCTGTCTGCCTGACCGACCTCCCACAGCGCCAGTCCCTGGCCGCCAGCACGTCCGCCGTGCGTATCACGGCCTGCCGTCTGCGCCTCGACGTCGAAGCCGGCCTGTACGTCGAGCACGGCCTCGATTCTCGTGTCCATGCTGAGGCCGGTGGGGATGTAGGCTCGCCAGAAGACCTTGTCCTCTCCACCACCGCCGCCGCCACCGCCACCGCCACCGTCGCTGCCGCTGCCGGCGGCCGACGAGGGTTCGAGGTAGTCGAAGAAGCTTTCTCCGGACTCGTCGTCGAGCTCGAGACTGGAGGGCCGGTGGGTCTTCAAGAGCCGGACGATGTCGGCCGACGTCAGAGGTCGGCCTGGTCCGCGCAGGATGGGCAGCGTCGTTGGCGAGTGGAGCGCCGAGGCGGAGGAGGGATCGAGCGGTATCCCCCTGCCCGTCTCGAGATCGAGAAAGAAGAGCGGGTAGGTGTAGCCGTACATGGGCAGGCCCATGAGCCACTTTGGGCCCAGGACCGACGAAAGCGTCGTCTCGCTGACGATGGCGCTGGGGAACGGGTTGGTCGGATCCATGGCTGCCTCGTCGATGCCAAATGGCGCCTGAGCGCCCTGGTCGTTGTCGCCACCGGCGGAGCCGCTCGACTCAATGGCGGCGACGAGGTTCTCTCGGATCCACTCCGGATGCGTGTTGGGACCGGGCTGCCTCAGGGTGCCCCTCTTGACCTGGCGCAGCGGGCTGTCGGCGGGCAAGTCGGATGCGGCCACCTTTGCCTCGCGTCCGCCGGCGCCGGTCATGTCGTAGGTCATGATGCTGAAGTAGTCTGCGACCTTGGAGAGGGCGGGGAGCGACTGGAGGATCATGGTGTTTTGCGACTCAAACGTCGACGAGGGACGGACGCCCAGCGAGGTGCGGGTGCGGATGGGCGGGAGGACGAGGACGAGGAGCTTGCCGGCGTCGTGGAGCGACGTGGCGAGCAGCGAGAGGGGTTCCTGGAGCAGGTAAGTGGCCGAGGATTCGAAGACGAGGCCGTCGTAGCCTCGGCTTTGCACCTCGTCGACGAGGGACGAGGCGAGAGAGGACCAGAGGGTGCGGTTCGAGAGGAGCTCGACATAGTCGCGCTGCTGCCACCCTTCGAGGAGGAAGCGCGGCACGACCTTGAGGGGCGAGTGGTAGGCGTCGGGCGGCCTCTGCAGCCTCTCGACCCACCTCTTATCCGCCTTGGACGCAGGCCCTCCCCTGACCTCGTATCGGCCCTGCCGCCGCGTCCGCTTCTCGTCGGCGTGCACCGTGTACCACACGGGCGCGACGAGGTCAAACTTGTTTCGGAACTCTTCCACCAGCGCCTTGCCCGCCGCGTTCCACGGCGTCACGTAGCCCAGCACGGGCAGCGTCGGGTGCCTCTTGATGTACGACGAGGCATCCAGCGCCTCGCCCGACGCCGACCGCGAGGATAGCACGTCCGCCGTCGTCGGGCCGGTCCGAGGCGATGATGCTGCCCAGGCGACCGGGCTTGTCGCCGACGACAGTAGAGTGACGAGGGTCAGGAGGGACAGAGCCAACAGGATGGCCTTTCTTGGCGGGCGGGTGTCGAATACCGTCATCGTCGTCGCTGTCGCAGTTGTCGTCGCGGCCGTAGTCGTCGCCGTCTCCGAGTGCAGGTGCGGAGGCAAGATGCTGGCGGCCAGGACGGTCCGGTCGAGTCGAGTGAACCCCGACGGCGCCGCGAGGCGAGGGCGGCGATGGCCCGTGCCCCGCCGAGACGGAAATGAGCGTGGAAAAGCGAGGGTGCGAACGCTTCTCTTCCCGCCACCATCACCTACAGCTCCACCGCCGTCGCTTGCCATCAACATCGCCAGCGCTATCGCCATCGCCATCGCCATCGCCACCACCCGCAGCGCTATTCCAATCGCGACGACATCGACTTTGATAACGGGATGGATTGAGGGGTATCTCTGAGTGAACCGGACTGTCTACCTATCTCTACATGCAGTGCGACCCAAACGTGCGGCATCGACGCCGGTGACCGTTGCCATGCTACTCCGCCCGGCAACACCTACTTGCGCCTCCGCTTCGGGCCCAGGACGATGCCGTTGCGCTTCTCGAGCCACGAGTTGAGCGAGGGCATGTCGGCCCGTTTCCTTTCCGCCTTCGCATTCTCCTTGCTATCCTCCGCGGCGGACGAAGAGTCGCATAGGTCGATGACCGACCTGTTGATCTCATCCTTGCCCTCGTATCTCGCCGAGATGGCCGCCTTGGACAGCGTCGGCTGCGGCGGCGACGACGACTTGACGGCGCCATCGCTGCTCGATCGGTGGAAGTGGATCGTGCCCTGGTGCGGGCGCATCGACAGCAGCGGCTGCCGCGGCTTGACCGTGGCTCTGAACGGAGACGTTGCCGGACGAGCCTTGGTGCCAAAGTCCCTATGCGCGCCCACACCGGCTGATCGGGCAGAGACGGAGCGAGCGAGTCCGGTCCTCGGGCCCGGAGATGTGGCGAGGCCGGGCATCGGGTAGAGGCTGTCTTGCAGCAGCTCGTCGTCGAGGTCCTCGCTTTCAACCAGCAGCGTGCTCGACGGCAGGCTGAGCCCGTTGCTGCCAGCCCGCTCCGCCTTGGCCACGGCGGCCTTTGACGACGGCGAAGAGTCCGGCAGGCATGCATCGGATCCGCCTTGCGTCCAAGCTCTTGCGTCCGTCGGGTGGCCGAACCGGACCCCGTCGGGCAGCGCCATCTCTCCGACGCCGGACACCAGCGACTTGCCGGACAACGAGGTCGACGAGGGCAAGGCGGCCGTGCCGGTGGCGGCGGCGACGCAGGCGGCATTGCGTTTCCTCTCTAGCCTGAGCTGCTGCTGCGTTTCGGCCAGCTTCTTTCTGAGCCGCGTCGTCTCCTTGGCCTCGTCGGTCTTCTTGTCCAGCTTCATCCTGGCCTTTTTGACCTCGCTCTGGAGGACGCGCAGCTGGTCGGCGAGCTGATTGTTCTTCTGCAGGACGGCGTCTCGCTCGCGCACCGCCTCGTTCTCTCTCTCCGCCGACTTGGCCACCTTGTCTTGGGCCTCGAGCGTGCGGTCCTGGAGCGTCTGCTCCATGGCGCGCGCCTTTTGTGCCGTCTCGAGCCGAAGCTGCCTGCGCTGCGCCTCGAGCTCGCGCTGCTGCACCTCGAGGGCCTCTGTGCGTTCGGCGAGCGATGCCTCTCGCTTCTGCTGCTCCTCGGTGGTCTTGACGGCCTTTGCGATGATGTCCTCGACCGCCTTGCGTTCGGCTCGGAGCTCGGCGAAGCGCTTCTCGGCGTCGGCGAGCTTCTTGGCGTGGTCCTCGGCCCGTCCGCGGAGGTCATTCGACTTGACGCGGTACCTGGCCTTTTGCTGCGAGAGCAGACGCTCCGCCTCGCTGAATGCGGTGCGCTGCGCATCTAGGCTCTTGACGGCGGCCTCGAGAGACGACAGCGAGGCCTGATCGGATTCGGCATGGTCGAAGGATTGACGAGGGGGTCCGATCGGCTGCGATGCGATCAGCGCCTTGCCCTCTTCATGCTACGCAGAGGCAGCGCGGGCGGAAACTCACATCAAGATCGCCTCGGGCGTTGGTGGCCAGCTGCTGCCCGTCGGTGAGGTCTGCGACGAGCTTCCTGATCTTGGAGCCGGAGCGTACCACGGTCTCGACGCGGACGCCGTGGACCGCCTGGACCCAGTGCTGGAGGTGCTGGTTGAGGTCGAGGAGGGAGCCGAGCAGCTTGTTTGCCTCGTCGTGCTCCTTTCTGACGGCGGCGGCGCGGACGTCGGCATAGTCGCGGTCGCCGGTTGGGTGCGCGTGATGATCCGACGGGGGAGGGTGCGCGGGCTGGAGTAGGCGCTCGTCGATTTCGGCCTTGTGGGAAGCGAGGTAGCGGTCGAGGTCGCCGCTCTCCTGCGGGAAGAGCTTGACGAGGCCATCGCGCGGGGTGGTGGTCTTGCAGAGGCAGCAGAGGTGGTGCTTGTTGCGCCTGGCGCGGTCGGATGTCTGGTACCACTGTTCGAGGCAGTCGAGGTGGTAGAGGTGACCGCACGCGAGGGCGACGGGCCGCTGCTCGTCGGAGGCGTCCTGGGAGAAGCCGTCGAGGCAGATGGCACAGCCCATTGCGATGGCGAGGCGGGAAAGTGACGCGGGCCGGCGAAGTGATCAAGGCCCAGGGAGGCCAGGTGGGTGCTTCTATCGCGGGACTCCGGTGACAGTCGTTGTGATGATGGCGGTGATGGTGGTGGTACTGCGCGGCAGCATGCTGGTCAGGAGACGGGTGCGGTGGGTGCCAGTAGTGTTGTTGTGGGAGGGGATCTTGAAGGTGGAAGGCGGGGTAGGAGGGGACCTTGATGGTGGAAGGCGGGGTAGGAGGGGGAGGAAGAGCAGGCGTGCCACCATGCAGCCTCGAGGGTGGCCTCGGTCCAGGCTCCCTTTTCCAGTCGCGTCTAAACGCGGCCGAGCGCGTTGGTGGCGTGGGCCGGCAGGATGGCCTGCAGGCTGGCCTGCTAGCCACGCCTCTTTGTGGAGGGGGCCAGAGCCTCGTCCGAGTCCCGAGCCAAAGGTTTTTGCGGCAGCACCGTACCTGCAGCCGACCCACGCCGGCCTGCTGGCCTTCTTCGTTGCTTCTTCCTGCCGACCCTTCTCATCCTTATCCTCCTCTTACCTCTTCATCCTTCCGGCCACAACTGAAGTGTCCCGCTCGCACACCGCCCACGATGCTGGCGCGCAAGAGCACCCACAAGCGCAAGCGCAGCTCCGCCAGGGCAGACTCGGCACGCGCTCGTCCCTCCACCAGGTTCATCGCCAACCTCTTGCCGCACCCGCAAGCGGCAAGTTCCTCCTCGAATGCTGAGGCTGCTACCGATGAGCTTGCTCGGGCAGATACAAGGCTAGTCAGGCTGGTCGATCAGCATCCCTTCAACCACTCGGTGAGCAGCGCGCGATCCAGCCAGGACGGTGCTGCGACCGCGAGAGTGCTGACTTTGCGTCCTGGCCCCTTGCGTTGCGTTCCCCTGCCCCTCAGCTCGAGTTGATCCTGCCTTACTGCCCGTCGCCTTCATCCGCATCGGACACACCGGCGTCACCGCCAGCAACAATTCAATCCCTTCTGGCCGAACTCACCTCTCTCAGCGACGGCGACAGGGCGACGTCGTACCTCGCCCGGATTCCCCTTTCTCTCTTCCTCGACCCGCTCTTCGTCACGGCCTACATCCGCTGCGGCTCTCTCACCGCCCTTAGTCTCGGACGACTCGACACTGACGACGTCGTCTGCCTCGACGGTCAGGGCACCCTCATCCTCTCCCTGACCAAGGAAACCTACCAGACCCTCGGCCTCACGGGACGGCCCAGCCACTTCTTCCGGGGCGCATCGGGCCGCGCCGGAGATCGCCAGAGCGGCGCCGTGACCCGCTACATTGTCGAGCTGCCCCTCCTCTCTCCCTCGTTTGTGCCCGGGAAGAAGGGGTACCAGCAGGCCCTCAACTGCTTGAAGAGGTGGGATGCGGCCAGGTCGAATCGGCACGGCGCCAGCACCCTGGCAGAAACCCATCTTGCCGGCCAGATCCACGTGCTGCAACGGGCCGGAGCGGACGCTGGCACGTCGGCCTCTTCGTCCTCGCAGGCGCAGGAACGGAACGCGACCTGGGACGTCCTCTTTTCCTGGACGCCGAGCGTCGAGGCCGAGGTCGAGGCGGAAGGGCAAGGCGGCGCTGCTGGCGTGCCCACCACGATCAACTTTCCCTCGCACCTCGTCGACCCTCTGACGGTCCGCAAGGTCGAGAGCCGGGGCACCGTCTCCGAGGGCATCAACGACGTCTGGTTGCCCCGCCTGTGCTGTCAGAGCACGCAAGGCCCAACGATACCCGGCGTCGAGAGGCTGCGATGTGGGTGGCGGGACGGCGGCAAAGCCAAGGCCAAGGCGCACGACGAGGATGCGAGCAAGCCCAGCTGGGCAGAGTGGCAGCTCCTGGCGCAAGAGACGATCGAATGGCTCGGCCTCGCGTCGATTGGGGCGGAAGTGTGAGTCGTGCAGCCCGGCGGGAGACCAGTGGAGCGTTCCATGCCTAGAGTCGACCAGAGCCTCGTTCTCACCCACATTGCTGTCCCTCCCTCTCGACGTGGCGAAACAGGATCAAGACCTACTGGCGACCGAGCGACTACTGCCTCTACGCCGCACCAGAACCGCACGAGGCGGGGAGCGTGATCAATGTGACGTGGCGCGGCTTCCTCTCCTCACGCCTCATTGCCAAGATCGCCTCTCGCGTCGAGCGATTCCTCGACGGCAACTCGTCGTTGTCATCGTCGTCATCATCATCGTCTTCGTCGTCATCGGCTTTGTCGACGTCAGCAACAGCCAGAGGGTGGGCGGCACTCTGCGTCACGGGCTTTAGCGACACGCCCGTCTCGTGGCGCGCCAAGACGCCCATCAGCAACCACTACGGCTCTTCCCACCAAGCATCCAGTACGGCAAAGGCGCAGCCGAACGGCGTCGGCGACCGCCCCTCTCCCTCATCGTCGAAGAAGCACAAGTGCAACGGCGACAACGCACCAGCAGCAGCGGCGGCCGCGGCGGCGACGGCGACGGCACAGACCGAGGAAGGCGAAGAGCAGATGGACGTCGACGCCTCTTCCTCCGACGAGGATGGCGACCAAGACGAGAGCGACTCGGACGCCTCCCTGGACCTTACCGTCTTTGGCTCAGCTGGTGGCGGCGGCGGCGATGGCGGGGCGAGGCAGACGGGCAAGGCGGCGCGCAAGAAGCGGGCGAAAAAGGTCAAGCGGCGCGGCCACGTCCGCAAGGGCGAGGCCGAACATGGATTCCAACGGAGCGGCGAGGACGGCTACGTCGCCCTGTGTTTCGCCCGGCCACGACCACGCGGCGATGCGGCGGATCCAGGGGAGTCGGAAGCGGGAGCGCGCTGGATCCTTGTCGAGAGCGTCGAGGCCGATCTGCGCTGCTGATCGAGCCACGTCGATGGACAATCGAGATGCCTCTCGGCGCACCATGCCGCGCGCCTTTCAGAGACCGTGCTTGACCTTGAACGCGCGGACCTCGGCGGCTACCGATCGGCGATCAGCCATGCTAAAGTCGAGCTCGACGGCGAAGCGGATCGGATCGGGGCCCGACGACCGCATCGACTCGTATCCGGGCGACGCGCGCAGACGATGGTCCCACACCTGGGCCAGCTGGCTGCAGAGACACCTCCTGAGGCCGGCGACCTCGGAACCTGGATGCAACTCCGGTCGGCATCGGATCCCAGGCAGCGGCAAGGCGAGGTCCGTGTGGGCGGACCGGACGACGTAGCTCTCCTCCTCCTCTGACAGGGAGCGGTCGAGATCCGTGTTGACGTTCCGGGGACGATCGCCCGTGCGTCCGCGGGAGGGCGAGATGGCCGCAAATTCGTCAGGCATCGCCGCCTCGATTGCACCCTGTCGGTTGCACTTGACGGCGATGCCGACGGGGGTGCCGGGGGCGCGCAAGGTGAAGCTGGTGCACGATGCGAGTCCGCGTGGCGGCCGGCGCAGGATGTTGACGGTATCGTCGAAAATGAGGCCGAGATGCTTGATGCGATGCCACCAGGGTGCGTCTGATACGCTGGGCGGGAGGGTGTCTACGTCGGAGGCGGTAGGCCGGACACGCACGGCCAGGGACTCGACTTTTGCGTCGGCGGGGAGGTACGATGCCAGCGGGGCCTCGAGCTCGCCGAGGACAATGTCGGTTGCGTTTGCGACGCTCGAGAGGATCTGGACGACGTGGTTCTCGTCGATGCCGCCTGCCCAGAACTCGCAGCGGAGGTAGAGGGCGCGGACGAGGAGGCCAAGGTGGGGCGAGTCGCGCAGGGTGCGTGCGAGGCGGACGATGGCCTGGGCGGACGCGAGGATGGGATGGGTGTAAATGACGGGCAGCAGGAGGCGATGGATGCTCGTTGAGAGGACGAGGAGGCTCTGCGCGACGTATGGTTTGGAGGCGGTGTATGCGAGCTGGAGGAGGACCTCGTCGACCAGCTCGCGGGGCAGCCTGGACCAGGGGCCGTCGCCGTCGCCGTCGCCGTCGCCGTCCGCCTCGGCGACAGTAGAAGCACCGCCGGCGGGCTGAGCGGAAAGGGATGACGGGTCGGGAGCTGCGGGCGCGGCATCGAAGCCCATCATGGCGTCCATCTTTGCCTGGAGGTCCGTGGAGCCAGGCTGGGGACGGACGGGCCACATGGCTGGTCGCTGAGCAGGCTGACGGCGTCAGACATGCGGGACGCAGCCAGGGTGGTGGTGGTGGCGCTGGATGGGGGGGACACAGGGGCATCGAGCGTGGGCGGAAGGGTGGTCGAGGAGAGAGAGAGAGAGAGGAGGAGAGAGAGAGGAGGAGGAGGAGGAGAGGAGGAGGAGGAAAAGAGAGATAGGCGGCCTCCTCCACAATGGCCACTGGATCACGTGCCGCCCGCCAGAGGTTCGCGTGTCGGCTTTGGCGTGTGACGGTGGCCCTCGATATTTTGCCCGCAACGACGAAACACACATCCCTCGTTGGCCGGTGCAGCCAAGGTTGTCGGTGGAGTGCCTCGGTCAGAAATCAGCATGGTATGCCCTGCGGATGAGCCGCTCGTCGAGTGCGGACGTGCCACGGTGGCGCAGCCAGACGACGAGCGGACAGAAGCCGAATCTATGGCGGTCGAGCGGCGGCAGAAGTCAAGAGTCAAGCCAAGGGTGTTGTTTTGGCGGGCAAAGCGGGGCGCGCCCCCAATAATCCCCCACCGACGTCTCAGAGCGTCGAGCCAGGCCGACAGAGTGAGAGAGAGAGGTCAGGCAGGCCAGCCAGCCCCGCGACTTGGACTACACTACTGGAATCCAACCCAACACCCCGGCCTCTGCGTCGACGCCAGCCAGCCTCGAACCCTTCCACCTCGCTCATCATCTTCCATTCCCCCTCCTCCCCTTCCTCCCTCGTCAAGTCAGGCAACCGCGCAGCAACGCCACCCCCTACCACCCACTCCAAAACGGCATCCACCGCCGGCCTTCACTGCCATCGACCATCCGCATCGATATCAACAACGACCCATCGACTCGCCCTGGTCTCGTCTCGTCGCCTCCAGTCACCCCTTGCTGCGCTGCCTGGCCGACGGCACCTCGCACCGCCAACACCACCGCCAACACCACCGCCCAGCCATGACGGCGATATCGCGCACAAACATGCCGCCAGCAACGCCAGTCCACCTCGGCGCAGCCAGCCTAGCCAACACCCTCAAACGAGACCACGCAACAAGCATCGCCACCCCAAACCAGCGCTCCCACCACCACCTCACCGACCTCAGCCCAACACAGGACAGCCCCCTGCCCCCTGCACCCGTCAGCGCCTTCATCATCGACGACGAACCCCATGCCGACGCCAATCTGAGGAGGACGGCAGCAGCGGCCACGGCGGCGGCCACCAACCCCACTGCCGCCCCCTCATCCTCTCGACAAGCCATCGGAAGCCGCACCCGCACCGCCGTATCCAGGATCACCCGCGAGAGGCCGCCCATCTCGGACGAAGACTCTCCCGGCGTCGGCAGAAGGGCTGCAGCTGGCCCCTCGTCGACATCCCCCCTTCTTGATGACCTCGGCGTGCCGCGCGCCTCCTACCTCCTCCAGAGCGAGCGGGCCCGCATCTCAGTCAGCCGATCCTCGCCCGTCTTCAAAGGCGAAGACCACCTCGATCACGCCGCCTACCTCGACCGCAAGAGCTCCCCCGCTTCAAACCAGCCCATACTTCCCTCTGGCCGCACAGCCCAGGCCACCGGCTCGCGCTACAGGAGCTCGCATGCACCCATCAGCTCCGCCGCCTTTGGAAAGGCCGGAGAGTCCTCGAGGCCTACCTATGGCGGCCTGGGACGCTCGTCGTCCTACGGCAACGGCAACAACAGCGTAGAGGCCGTGCGCGACGACGCGCGGATAGCCTCTCGCTCCTCGATGAACAGCATCGCCGGCGACAGCGGAATCGAAGCGCGTGCATCCCGCCCGGAGCCCTTCAACCGACGCATGAGCCGTACGCCTCCCTCTGAGCTCCGCGGACAGGCCGCTGCACCCAAGCGCCGGTCGTTTGAGGCCGTCGGCGACGACCTCGATCTGGGCGCTCGCCCGCTGCCGTCGAGCCACGACCTCGACTTTGCGCCCTCGGGCTCGGCTTCCGGCCCGGGTTCGAGGACCAGCAGCAGGAACAGCTACGCGCGGCCCGACGAGGCGCACGATATGGGCAGCCTCGATATGGCACCGCACCGGGTTGCTCGGCGCACGAGCGATGAGAGCGAGACAGCCACCGAGCTGGCACGACCCAGGCTATCAGCGGAGCGATTCGATCACGAGCACATCGATGTCGAGACGGCACGGGCCTCGTCATTCCACCGCTCCCAATCCCCGCCGCCAGCACCGTCATCGCCCGATGCACGTCATGTCCGGACAGGCTCAGCAGCCGACGCAGAGCTCCACGGAGCGTTGCCAGATCGGTCGCCGCCAGGTATGGCCGCACGGTTCAGGGCCTCGACGGAGGCCAGGGGCGACGGCGTCATCGAAGGGCCCGGCGCGGCAGCCGGATCGGGCTATCGGACACCGGCGCTAGGCAACCGAGCGTTGCGATCCAGCCTAGCCGCCAGCAACGGAGCCAGGAGCGCCGGCAGGAGCCTGCGCAAGCTGGCACGGTCGTCGAACCACCATGTGCCTGCCCGCCGCGTTCAGCGGTATCAGGACGAGGAGGAGGATGAAGACCTGGACGACGATGCCAAGGACGGCAACAAGGGCGAGCACGAAAACGGCGGTTCCGGCAACAACTCGTCGGGAGAAGGCCCCGACGCCGGACAAGAGGGCGTCCACGCCAGCGGCGGCAGCTCGGGATCTGGAAGCCGCGAGGAGCGGGGCAACGTCAGCCCGCGTCTTCGGGCCTACGGCTACGACCCGGTCGAGGCCAAGTCGCGCGCGGAGCTGCTGGAGCGAGCGTCGCTGGTGCGCTCCCCGAGTCCGAAGCCGTCCCTTGCCGATCCTCGAGCCGTCGATCGCGACGATGACGGGGAGGCGAACCACAACATGGCTTCGGCGACACCATCGCCACCGCCGCTGCAGCCGCCGCCTCCCAGCAAGAAGGAGCAGCATCCAAACGCGAGACGCGCGGCCACGGGCGACAACGCCGGGCGCAAGGAGAACATCGAGCCAGCAGGACGGAAGCGCGGTGCGGGCGCCAACGCCATCCACGACATCCTCGCCGCCAAGATCCCGGCTCCAAACGCCCAGGCTGCCGCTGGCGGCGTGCGCAGGCACTTGCCGCCGTCTTCTGCAGACAGTGCTGTCCCTGTGCGGTCTGCCTTTGCGCCGTCCGCCGCGCAGAACCAGGCCAAGGCGGGCGCGGCGCCTCTGGTCCCCTCCACGGTGCCGCCGCCACCGCCCGAGGGCATGGCTGAGGGCGACGACGAGATCGACGAGGAGGTCTACCGGCAATACAGCGACTGTCGGCCAGACCTCATCTGGGGCGAGGCGGATCGGCAGCACGAGCAGCCACTGGCCAGCCACGCCAACCTGTTGGAGCTAGTCAAGGGCCCGCCCAAGGCGACTGCAGTGAGTGCACGCCAGCAGCTGGCAGAGCCAGGTGAGACAGCCGACTGACCTCGCATCGCACTTCGCGTCCTTCCATCCCTCGACTCTCATCCCCCGGTGACAGATGCAAGGCCTCAAGTACCGCAAGGTGAAGAAGGCCGGCAGAGGCGGCTTCTCGGTCGTGTGGGTGGTCCGGGGCCCGCTCTACGAGCCGTCGGCAGCATCGCCGCAGGACTTTGAAGAGGTGCCCGAGGACCGGCAGGCGTTTTTCGCGCTCAAGCAGGTCTCGCTCAAGGAGGTCGAGAGCGAGCAGAACCGGCAGGAGCTCATCTCGGAGGCCAACACGCTGCGCACCCTCGCCAACCTCGAGGGCAGCGAAAAGTACCTCTTGCGCTACTTTGGCCACCGGGTGTCGAACGACAAGCTCAAGATCGTGAGTCTGCCTTGCGTCGCCGCGGTCGTGCCGATGCGCTGCGACTCAGTCTTTCTGACTCTTTTCTTGCCTTTTGCCTCCCTTCCAACAGCTCCTCGAGCTCGGCGACGGCGACTTCAACGGCATCCTGGCCACGCAGGCGCCGCTGTCGCGCGACCTCATCGCCCACTACTGGCGCGAGATGCTCGAGGCGGTCCAGTTCATCCACGACGTCAACCTCGTCCACACCGACCTCAAGCCGGCCAACTTCCTCATTGTCAAGAACCGCATCAAGCTGATCGACTTTGGCATCGCCCAGAACATTCCCAAGGGCACCGTCCACATCTCGCGCGACGCCATCATCGGGACGCCCAACTACATGGCGCCCGAAGCCATCAAGATTGCCAAGGCCAAGGGCCGGAGGGTCTACAAGGTGAGTGGCGCCCGCAAGACGATGAGACGGGTGCGACGGCCCCTGCAGGCAGGACGGGGCTTGCAGAGGACTGACGCCTTTTGCCCTGGTTCCCATCCCTCATCCTCACCTTTCCTCGGACGCAGGCCGGCAAGCCGTCGGACGTGTGGTCGCTCGGCTGCATCCTCTACCAGATGATCTGGGGTCGCCCGCCGTTCGACAAGCTGCCGTCGGACCGCAAGCTCGAGGGCATCATGGACCCAAACCACAAGATTGCCTACACGCCCTACCGAGACCCGCGGTACCCGGACGTTGAGGACGTCGATGCCGACCTGCTCGACTGCGTCCGATCGGCGCTCCAGTACCGGGTCGAGGACCGCGCCACGATCCCGCAGCTCCTCCAGCACCCTTTCCTGCGGCGGCCCGACGACGGCGGCGACGCCGAGGCGCACGACGACGACGACGACGAGGACCTCGACGAGACGGTCAGCATCTCGCGCGGCAAGTTGCGCGACCTCGTCGGAAGGCTGCGGACGCTGGCGCTGCGCGACGAGCTGACCGAGGACAATGTCATCGAACGTGCCGATGTGAGTATGCGGCCGTCGCTGCTGCCACGTAGCTCGCGGCGACGATGCCGATTGCGGACCGCGAGACTGACCGACGCTCCGGCTGCTCCATCCCTGTACGTGCCCATCGACGACGCAGATGCTGTTCAACAACCTCAAACAGGCACAGGCGCAGTCGTAGCGTCTTCAGCCCCTCGCCGCCGCCGTCACCTCTGCCTTGCAACTCCCCATTCCATCATCATGCTCCCACGTCTCGGATCGACGGCATCGCGACGTCGGGGTACACACACACACACACACACACACACACACACACACACACACACACACACACACACACACACACACACACACACACACACACACACACACACACACACACACACACACACACACTACCTACCGTACCGTACCCGTACCCTACCCGTACCCGTACCCAACCGTAACCCGTACCCCTAACCCGGTACCCCGTACCCGGTTACCCGTTACC